AATTTTATTTGAATTATTTTCGTAAATTATATACGAATTATATGAGAGTTTAGAAGGGTGTTACACGAAATCTATGGAGAGCCTGAAAGCCTGGCTCTGGAAGCAAGTTCTTCAAATGTGGGAAGTTAAAAAATTGAAAGCAAAATCATTGATTTTGAATACCTAGGCTCTCAGTTTACATGGCGAGGCAAAAATCTCCAGAGTTCGGTCATGTGTATTAGAGCTTAGATAAAGCTATACTTAAGATGAAATGTCATTTTTCTCATAAGGTGTTGTCTTTTATTGAATCTCCATACCTATCTTTTATGAATCTTATGGATGACCCAAAACTATACTAATTTATGAAAAATAAAATTTTATTAACTCTATGCTTGGATGCAAATAGAAATTGAGTAATTGAACTACTCATGAGTCGAACCAACCATCAATCATTCTTATTTCCTTATACCGTTTTCTTATTATTTTGAAGAACAATACTTACTTGAGCACAAACCCAAATAAATAAAGTTTAGGCACACTCTCATAAATATATAAATTAAAAGAAAAAATAAATTTAAAAAATATTATATTATTTGACTTAGATGTTTTTCATTTTTTTCTTGTTTCCATTTGTGTGAATGTGCCCAAACAATTTCAATTTGTATTTATGTTTAAGTAAGACTTTCTCTTATTTTAAAATTTATTTAATAATTAAATTGATATGAATTAAATCTTTTTTATAATTACATTTCTTTAAATATCAGTTTGTTCTCATTCTTCATCTACATATGTATATTCTTCTTTTGTGTCTTTTTTATTTTTAAATAGTCATAGTTTAAGGTTTTTCTTTCCGTCATGAGTTTTTTTTTCTTATCAAATATTAATAATTAAATATTTTCCTTAATATCATACATTTATAATATATATATATATAAATATTTTCCTTAAGGTGATAGATGAGTGGGTTCTCTCATATATAAGTGCTCAATCTTCCCTTTTATAATCAATGTGGGACTTCTTCCTCACACTTGATTCTCAATACTCCCCCTCAAGTGTGAGTCACAATGCTCCCCCTCATGTGGAATGACTCTTTTCCACATACACTTGTACCACCGCTCGATACAAGTAAGCCGGTCCCTATCTCGAAACCAAAGGCTCTGATACCACTGTAGGGGCAATTCCGAGGAGAGAGCATTTTACTTGGGACACACCTTTGTGAGAGACACACCACTTGTCCATCTAAAATCTTAAGGTAATAGATGAGTGGGTTCTCTCATATATAAGTGTTCAATCTTCCCTTTTATAATCAATGCTCCCCCTCATGTGGAATGACTCTCTTCCAGATACACTTGTACCACCGCTCGATACAAGTAAGCCGGTCCCTATCTCGAAACCAAAGACTCTGATACCACTGTAGGGGTAATTTCAAGGAGGGAACATTTTACTTAGGACACACCTTTATGAAAGAGACACCACTTGTCCATCTAAAATCTTAAGGTGATAGATGAGTGGGTTCTCTCATATATAAGTGTTCAATCTTCCCTTTTATAATCAATGTGGGACTTCTTCCTCACACTTGATTCTCAACAGACTACACTTACTTCACTAGCACGAATTACAAAAGCGGATCTATTGGTGTGGTTAAATATGAAAGAAATTATAAATTTAATTATATTGAAAAAAATAATTAATATTGTTTAATCTAATACATTTATAATAAAAATCATCTATTATCTATTTTTGGAAAATGAGCTAAAATAATATCATTGTTAATTTTTCAAGAACGTATTTTTTTATAAAAGTTATAAGGCAACCATTTAACAATTGGTCACTGTTTTTTTTTTACATATTTGGCTCTTCATAAACTTCATAGCTCGAAAAAATATGTTTCACACTTGCCGTTGCTACCGGCAAGATTAAAGTCAATTTTAAAAGCTTATAAACCATATTAAATGTGTTGCACTTATTTGTTTCCACAAGTTTTGCACAAAGATCTCAAAGTCCTTTTTACTTTGCAATTTTTGGAACACAATAAACATTTATAACATAATTTTGAAGTTTATGTCGCATTATCACTTCCAACACATCTACAAAATTATTTAGATAAAGTTCAACCATCCTGATTAATTTTTTTCACATCAAAAGTTACAAATGATTATGAGAGACTCAAACATGAAACACACTGTAAAACATCAGTATTCTCTTCATCAAAGCTAACATTGATCTCATGCAACTGCAGATCTAAAATATTAAAGAAACAATCATACTTATAATGATGCAAATTAGAAATACTAGAAGTTGTAGCGTGTCACCTAGGTTTCTTCCCTTGCACATATATGTGCATCCATATCAGACACATCAATATTATACTTATTGCAAATTTCTATAACCTAAGATATAAGTTCTTTGCATCCTCATTCTTCATTTCTTGTAATTCTTATTTGATAGTATTTACAAGCCATTATTTGGTTACAAAACCATAAATAGTTTTGGAGATTCGATGGCTGCGAAAATGGACTTGAGCTTCAAATGCGGTTGAGAAGGGGGCTGACTTCCAAAATTAACAGTCTAACACTCAAGGTAATATGAGAAAGAGAAGAGTAAATGAAATTTAAATTTACATATCTTAAATTGACACGTGTTATCTGTATATAATGAAGTTGTTATAACAACTTCTTATTTAATAGGTGTGTGATACGAGAAACCATTAATTATATCTTAAATTTTGATCACATATATTCTTTCGTAAGATAGTTCTCTTGTACAATAAATATTCTAGATAAATTATAACTCCTTCTGAATCAGAGGTTGATGAACATTATAGTCAATAATTTCTTTTTATAAAAAAATGTGATAAATCTTGATGACTCACTTTTAATTTTTTTTTTAATTATAATTATTACAAATTGTATGATAACAACATACTTTTAATTGGCAACAGACTTTTTCAAAAATCTCATGCAAAATATTATAATATAAAGAAAAGTATAAAATTCTGGTGTGACTTTAGCCATAGTGTACCTCAATATACATTCATTTATAATAAATCAGATCAATCAATCTACTATATAAATTTAAAACCGATACAAAAGTTCAAAAAAATTAGATAAAAGAAAAAACAAAATAAACATATGCACACATAATTATTATAAACATTGTTCACACAAATAGCTTTATATATTTTTGTATCTATTAACTTCATAACTAAAGTTTTGTGCTTGAAAATAAATAAATAGATATCATAAATTCAAACTTATCCACTCACAAGTCATAGCTATAATTAAGCTGAATTAATGAAATCATAAATAGTCATTTTCATGAAATTTAAAATTTATTTTTTAAAATTGTTAAATCAAACTATCATCACAAAATCAATACATATTTTACATACATAATTATACAAAGATATAAACTTAACACATAAAAAAATTAAATTAAAAAGTATGAGTATTATTAACATGTGTTTTAAAGACTTAAATTAAAGAATTCAAACTTAAACATTTATTAATAAAAGAAATAATAATCTAACTTTAAAAAATTAAATATACAATTTTTAAAACAAATGTTTTTCTACATTAATTTTGCTTAGAAGTTGACATTATCCAAAAAAAAAAAAAAATTATGAGAATCAACTTTATTATAAATTATAATCATTTATACACTAAGATTTTTTCAATCTTTCATTATAATACTTAGAGACAAATATAGTAAGGTTTTAATTATTCAAACCAGTTATTTATAGATTTTTTTTCCAAACATATACTACTAACAATTTTATCATAAAAATATTTAAAAAAAAATTATACCATCAATTTAATTGTCTACTAAAATTGTACTACTATACTACTAGTAGTATGAACTAGATGTGACAAACTAAATTTTTTATATATATATAATATTTGATGAAAAAGAATATAATAAATTAATGTGTTCTCCATGCTTAGATGCAAATAGGAATGGATGCATTAACCAACCACCAATCATTCATTCATATTTCAATATCTTTCCTTTCTCTTTTACCTTTTTCTTCTTACTTGTTACCCTTCACTTCCCACTTGTATTCACCAAAAGCACGCCCCTCTTTCTCTTTTCAAAGATATTTTTATTTATTTATTTATTTATTTATTTATTAATTACTGTAGTAATATTTATTTTATGGTAGTAATAATAATTTTCTCTCACCTCAATACTCCGTACTTTCGACAGCGACCGGTGAAGGATGGTGGTGGCACATGCTTGGTGTCACATCAAGTAAGATCAACGGTCATGATATTCACGTACGGATAATCTGACGGCTGAGATGTTTTCACCGTCCCATATCTCTCAAACATGAGTTTTCTCTCTCCTACGCTTTCTCTCTCTACTGTGCCCATGTCCAGCTTGGTCGGGGCCCCCTTATATATGCAAAGAAAAAGAAATGACCCCTTCTTTTAATTCTCTCTTTCTCTCTCTTCTGTCATCACACTCACTGTGTGTGTCTCTCTCTCTCTCCTTCAATCGAAAGTGATAGGCCACAAAACAGGCCCTTTCCTTTGGTTTGGTTCGGTTTGATTTTCATAACATAAAACACCTTCATGGCGATCTTGAACAACGTGTCACTCCTGCAGCTTCTTTCCAACTGGGTCATGTTTCTGGGCCATGAAGGCTTTGCTTGAAATTCTCAAAACTCTAGTAAAAAACAAAACTTTACTTCTTTTTTCCTGTTCTACTGTCAAGGGTTGTTTTAATTTGTTTGGGATGTTTTGGCGCTGTGTGGATTTTGGGTTTGTTTGATTTTGTTTTTTGGGAGTTGGGTTTTGTTTGTTTGTTGGTTTTGAGTGTTATGGAGTAGTGTTCTCTAGTGGTGCATTGGTTAGGTAGAAGAAATGATTGAAGAATGCAAATTGAAATGGCTTGAAGTGAATTGAATCAACTTGTTCACTTTCATGAGTTAGGGTTTCATTTTTCGTTGCTAAATTTGTACTATTGTGTATTTGAATGAAAGAGAGAGATAAAGGAAAAAAGGATAAAGCTTTGATGATATGAAGCTTTCAACGTCAGGCTTGGGTCATCAGGGACATGAAGGTTTCCATTTCAATTCTCTCTTTTTTGCTTTATTAACGATTCTTAGTATTAGTTTTGGCTTTTAGTACTACAAGATTATAATAAACACTGTGTCCCTATCATAGTACTCCTTTTCTGTTGCTTCAACAACAACAACAACCTTAGTAAGATTTTTTTTTTTCCTTTTCTCTTTTTTGATTATGGTAGGAGGAGGAGGGGAGAAGAAGTGTCTGAATTCTGAGCTATGGCATGCATGTGCGGGGCCCTTAGTGTCCCTACCAACTGCAGGAACTCGTGTGGTTTACTTCCCTCAGGGTCATAGTGAGCAGGTTTTTGCTTTTTTAATCCTTAGCATTCTAATTCAGATTGTTTCAATTCACACCATGACCATACACAATAATGCAATGCTTCGTGCTTTTGGAAACAATTCAATAGATTCTATGAATGGATATTGAGCTAAATGTTGATATCGATTTCAGGTATCTGCCACAACGAACCGTGAAATCGATGGGCACATACCGAATTACCCGAGCTTGCCACCTCAGTTGGTTTGCCAGCTTCATAATGTCACTATGCATGTGAGTATGTTTGTATTTTTTGTTTACTTATGATTGTCATTTACGTAAACTCGTAAAGCAATTGAGCGTGTTTTGATTTTCAGGCAGATGTTGAAACAGATGAAGTATATGCTCAAATGACACTACAGCCGTTGACTCCGGTATTGTGATGTTTTCTTTGACATGTTTGCATTCCGTGTTATAAACCTCTCTTTAGAACTGAAGTTTTCATTTTTGACGACGGATGTAGGAGGAGCAAAAGGATACATTTCTTCCTATGGAATTGGGAATTCCAAGTAAGCAGCCCTCTAACTATTTTTGCAAGACTTTAACCGCCAGTGACACCAGCACGCATGGAGGATTCTCTGTTCCTCGTCGTGCAGCTGAGAAAGTTTTTCCTCCGCTGGTAATGTTCATATATTGCTGTTATTATGGTTAATTCTTGTTTCTTATAGATGCATTTCTCATAAAATTTGGGCTACACAGGATTTCTCACAGCAACCACCAGCACAAGAACTAATTGCTAGGGATCTCCATGACGTAGAATGGAAGTTTCGACACATTTTTCGAGGTAAGAATCTAACTTACGATCTTGTTATTTATACCGGGTTTTAAAGATATTCATCAATATTTCGGCAGAGTATGTCTTTATTTAGAAACACATGCCTTTGGTGCCTTTGGCTTGTGCATATTTATTTCATAGGATAGCTTAAGTTAAGATTCTTCAGTTTAGAGGGAGACTTACGCGAAACTAAGGTACTTTAGTAGTCAGAACTGTCTGGTTTACCTTGAAAGATTAAATTAAATTTCAAATCCCTGTATTTCTGTGTTTTATAACAAGTGAGTCCCTATAGATTTTTTAATAATCAATGACATTTTTGAATCTATGATTTGGATAGAAACATAGTCCTGGATAGAACATTACGGCGTAAGTTGATCCATGTAGCCGATCCCACTTAGTGGGATAAGGCTTGGTTGTTGTTGTAATGTCATTTTAGAATTTGGACTCTTGGGGCTAATCTATAATTTTTAAACAAATAAAAGTTTCCATAAGGTATTGCAAAGTGCTTTGGATCCATTATGCTAAACGACGGAAAATATAAATGCGTCAATCATAGGATGGTAGAGTTGGGTCTTTTATGGTTTTGGACATGCATGGAGAAGACCTGTATACATACAAGGAAATAGGGCTTACAAGATGGGATGACATTCATAGTTAGAGAGATCCTAGGAAAACAATAGGTAAAAGTATTGATAGATTTAGATTTAAATAGTCTATCACTAGATGTGATTAATGATAAGATACCATGGAGTTGCTTAACTCATGTTGCTGGGGCGTCATAATGAGAAAAGGCGTTTGGTATTATTGTTGTTGTACATTAAATTGCAGATCAATGGTACCTATCATAAATGGCCATGATTTCTCCTGTTTGTAAATGCATTGGATATATTTTGCTAGCTACTTTCTAGCATTTTTCTTTTGATGCTTCCAGGAGTATCACCAATATGTATGGAAATCCACCTACTTCTAGATTAGACCCCAAATCCCGAAATGAACTAGCGAGAGTTGTTGAATTTGCATTGGCATCCTACGTTTTCAAGGTTCCTGGTTTGTTAGATGTACTTAAGTTATGTGGTTGGTTATTGTTAGTGAGATCCAAGCTCATTTAACATGTTGTCAAGAGCTGGGTTAAGGATGCCAATGTGAGTGATATCCAAGTTCATTTAAATAAAATCAGCTCTAACCTTTAAACTTCGGTCTGTCTCCAATAGTGGCCATCCTTGTTTTAAGAGGAGCTGGAATAACACCTTAACTTGAGTGATTTGACCATGGATTGTGACTGATGGTTGGCTGAATAGGAGGGACCAGGATCTACTGCAGTAAATTAATGACGCAGTTTCACAGTTTTTATTTCAGCTGTTAGATTGTTAAGGAGCAGTCTTGATCACAACTTTGTCAAACCACCATCTCACAACATAAATTGATCCAACAGTTCAAATCAAAACTGTGGGAAAAATAACTCCAAATCCATTTCCAAATAGGAGCTTGTGTTAGAGAACATGAGCCAGTAAATGTAATAGCTATACTTTCAAATGGTTCAATTCCTTTACTTGTTTTAAGTTAATCTCACTCTTTTGCTTATTTATGTTTAAGTTTCAGAATCATCCTTTCTGCTACAACCGAAGCACAAACTTTAAATGGACTATTTTTAAATTGGAGAAATGTACTGGAGTCCTGATTATTAATTATGCTACCGATACACGAGAACAAATTCTTATCTCAGTTGTATTTTTTACCTTGCTAATGCGTTTGTTGCTTACATGTCATTTCAGGTCAGCCAAAACGACACCTTCTTACAACAGGCTGGAGCATATTTGTTAGTGCCAAGAGACTGGTTGCTGGAGATTCTGTGCTTTTCATATGGTGCTTGTTTCCCTTTTCTCTTTCAATTACCTTTTCTTGACCTTGAAAGCTGAACATTAATTCTTTTATGTTTGTGGCATGTATTTTCACTATTAGGAATGAGAAGAATCAGCTTCTTTTGGGAATTCGTCGAGCCAATAGACCACAAACTGTAATGCCATCATCAGTTTTGTCCAGCGACAGTATGCACATTGGACTTCTGGCAGCCGCTGCTCATGCTGCAGCAACTAATAGCTGTTTTACTGTCTTCTATAATCCAAGGTTGTCAATGTTGTCTGAATTTCCATACATGAATCCTTTATAAGAAATTATAATGCTTCTTTTGACAGTTATGTAATTGGCAGGGCTAGTCCGTCTGAGTTTGTCATACCACTTTCGAAATATATCAAAGCTGTGTACCATACACGTATTTCTGTTGGTATGCGCTTTAGGATGCTTTTCGAGACTGAAGAATCAAGTGTCCGCAGGTACACGTAGACATCAGATACTATTTTTCCTGAAGCTACTGACTGAAGAATTAAGTGTCTGCAAGAAAATTACTTGTACTGCACCATACTATTTTTTGCATTTACTTAATCAATGTATTGCTTTTGTTTTGCAGGTACATGGGTACAATAACTGGGATAAGTGATCTGGATGCGGTTCGGTGGCCGAGTTCTCATTGGCGTTCTGTTAAGGCAAGTTAAGGTCACACTGCAATGTGTTAGAAAGATTAGATACCATTATCTATATTCACTGCCACTTTTCTGCAATATATCTAATGCAAGGTTTTTCTAGATAGTTTGTCATGCTTGACAAATGCAATATAATCCTCTAGTATTTGATATTTATTTTTCTCTATCAAACCATTAAATTTGTTGCTGTAGTCTTATTTGGCCTTCTTAAGCTAATTGTTGAAATTACATAAATATCCTTTGCAAAAAATAAATGTATTTTAATATCTCATTGTCAATGTGTGCCTAATGCGACATTGTGATTTAGTGTTAAATGTTGTTGTTGCTCAATAACTAAGCATAGCAAATTATTAATCGTAACTAATCTATTCTTTCATCGATTTTCTCTTTGTGCGTTGCCTGGTTTGCGATACTAGTAATAATGTATACATATGCCTTCAATCACTGTAACTTTCGGGATTTTTGTAGTTATACCTTCAAGTCCTAATTAGTTTTCAAATATATTCTGTTTTATATCGTTTGTAAATCTAAACCAACCCTGGGAAGAAAATTAACTGCCATATTTGTATATGATTTTTGAAATCATAGATAAAATTGCATATATAGTTGTTTTATTTTGGGTCTACTTGTGATTGTACCAAAAGATACTGATGCAACATTTTAATTCTTTTATGGTTCAATTTCAATAGAAATTTTTATGAATCGCTCTTACTTTCTTTTTATCCGTTGTAAATAGGTCGGTTGGGATGAATCAACAGCAGGAGAGAGACAGCCACGGGTTTCATTATGGGAAATCGAGCCTTTAACAACATTCCCAATGTATCCATCATTGTTTCCCCTCAGATTGAAACGACCGTGGCATCCTGGCACCTCTTCTTTGCTTGGTACATTTTTCTCTATCATTCAATCTGTGCAACTTGATTTACATATTTCATACGAAAGCAGTTGACAGTTTGTGAAATACTACATAATTTTTTGAGGGTTTCTTGTTTATATCCTTTACTTACCTAGGATGTTGTTACAGATGGAAGAGATGATGTGGCAAATGGTCTGATGTGGATGAGAGGTGGACCTGCAGACCAAGGTCTCAATTCTCTTAATTTTCAAGGTGCTGGTGGCATGTTACCATGGATGCAGCAGAGACTAGATCCAACTTTACTCGGAAACGATCATAATCAACAATATCAAGCCATGTTGGCGGCAGCTGGAATGCAGAATATGGGTAGTGGATATCTCATGAGGCCACAAATGATGAATTTTCAACAACAGCCTATCCAGTACCTTCAGTCTGGAAACAATAATTCGCCTTTGCAACTTCAACAACCACACGCAATTCCACAATCAGTGTCCTCTAATATGATGCAACCACAAGGCCAAGTGCTTACTGAAAACCTGTCTCAGCACCTCCTTCAGAAAACAAATAACAATCAAGAAGTCCAAGGTCAACAGCAGCAACATGGTTATCAAGATACACTTCTTATTCAAAATGATCAACTCCATCAGCGACAACAACAACAGTCCAATGCGCCATCACCATCGTATACAAAACAAGATTTCCTGGATTCAAACTTGAAGTTTCCTGCTTCGGCTTCCTCCGGACAAAACATGCTTGGTTCGCTTTGCAATGAAGGAACTGGCAATCTCTTGAATCTATCAAGTCTATCCAGAAGCGGTCAGTCGTTGATGACCGAACAGTTACCCCAACAATCATGGACTCAGAAGTATGGGAATATGCAGGTCAACGCGTTTAGCAACACAATGTCGCATGCACAATTTTCTGGAAAAGATTTGGCAGTGGTGCCACATTGTGATTCAGATACTCAAAACCATACTCTCTCGGGTGTCAATATCGATTCATCTGGCCTTCTACTCCCCACCACTGTCCAAGGTTACACCACTTCGTCCGCTGACACTGGTGCGTCAACGATGCAGTTAGGGGAGTCGGGATTTCAGAGTTCTCTATACGCCTGCATGCAAGATTCATCTTCATTTTTGCAAAATGCAGAGCAAAGCGACCCACAAAACCAGAACCCAACATTTGTGAAGGTCTGATTCTTAAGTAATCCGTGCAGCTTTTTCTGTCCTTCAATTGAATTTAGTAGTTTAATTTTATCTTTTCACAGGTTTACAAATCGGGTTCGGTTGGTCGTTCACTTGACATCTCTCGGTTCAACAGCTATCGTGAGCTGCGAGAGGAGTTGGGTCAGATGTTTGGAATTGAGGGGAAGTTAGAAGACCCTCTTAGATCAGGCTGGCAGCTTGTGTTCGTCGACCGGGAGAATGATGTGCTTCTCCTTGGCGACGATCCGTGGGAGTAAGTACTAGACTTTTGCTAAATTCGCGATTAAAGATTCCTTAGCCATTGGTTTTAAATTCATATAACATGCCGTCTTTGTTCATTCGTTATAGATCATTCGTGAATAACGTTTGGTATATCGAAATACTTTCACCGGAAGATATTCAGAAGAAGATGGGAGAGGAAGCGGTAGAAACGCTTGCGCTAGGTTCAGGACAGAGGCTCAACGGCACTGGTGAATCTCACCACGTGGTTTCTGGACAACCACCATCAATTGGCTCACTTGAATACTGAGAATCGGATGATTCCAAAATTTACCTTTCAAGTTCCCTGTTAAGACGATTTCTTTATGTGTATTATTATCTTCATTGGAATGTACTGTGAATCTTATTCCACGTATCATGTTTAGTGTTTATTTCAGGATTGAGAAGAAAGCATACATTTATGATAAGTTATTTAGGACAAGCTTGTGTGTCAATCTGAAGTTGGAACACTGAAAGCTAGAATTAGTGTTACCGCTATTTTAGTATAACTTTTATTGCATGTACTTATTATGTACTCTAGATAGGCAACTAGAGAAGACTCTTTAAGCTTAAGCTGTCAGTTATGTTCTACCTCATTTGAGCAATATATTATATATGACTATTATCAAAAATCACAGTATCTCTTAATTGCTGCTATCTTATTGTGTTGTAATTTAATTTAATTTTACAAGTTAGAAATTAGTTATAAAGAGCTTAGGCAATTACTACTATAGTTTTACACATGGTTGTCAAGTTCTGTATCAAGATTTTATGATCTCACTCATTCTCAGCTGTCCCTATTTAAAATATGATTGAATAATTAAATAAAATACTTATTTATTTCATAATTAATATTTTTTTTAAAACATTTTATTATTAGTTTAATTAGTAATAAATAATTAGTAAATTTTTTATTCGTATTAAATAGTATATTAGACATTACTAATTTATTATAAACAAAATAATTGATAACTTATATAAATACTAATTAATTATATAATGTTATATATTAAATAAGTATTATTTGAAGAATTCAATCTTATAGAATTTAAATCTTAAAATTTATTAAAGTTATCAACTCATGTTATAGTTTATAAAAATATTATGTATTAAATAAATATAATTTATTTTAAAAATATATTACAGACGAGTATTATGTTTATTTTCGTTTCTAATTATGTATAATTAATTACGTGTAGTTTGGTGGTAAGTGGGATTTGTTACATACTCAATGCCCTAAGTTTGAATTCTCCTGGGGTTTATTGCAAATTTTTGGCTTTCATCATTTATTTCAATAATAGATTCGGATGACTCTATTTTAACAGGGGCGAAAACGATGAAATCTTAAAATGTTAGAAGGATAATTCAAACTTTTTTTATATATTCTTTTCTCTTCAAAACTCACCTATATGACATGGGGCAAAATAGCTATTAACCCTTATATTAATTCAAAGAAAATCACGATGGAGGTTGGTCATTATATTCTATATATTTCTCAAATTATGAAAATTCAAAAATAGCGTTTGTTTCAAGTCTAGAAAATATATTCTTGGGAATACATGGGTGGAAAATAGTTATTCTCATGTTTGTTACAAGTTTGAAAACAAACTATTTCCAAGAATAAAAATTTGTTAGAATCAAATAACTTCCATAACTTCCATAACTCTCATGGTTTTATTCCCATAAAAAGAAGGAGAAATTTCACATAATTTTTTTGAAAAAAAGATATAACTACTCATTTTCCGAAGAACATTAAATGATATGCCAAACGATTATTTAGAAAAATACCCAAGAATTAAATCTTCATATTTTTATTCCTAGACAACTTATTCTTGAAAATCTTTTATGAATCTTTGAAACAAACGCTTCATTTCTCTAAAAGTTATACTTTAAACGCACCAACTACATAATTGTGTATTTGGCCTCACACATTAAAAGTAAAAAGGGTATGTCGCAAAGTTGAATTTTAGCTATGTTATATTCGTAACATATTTGTGAAGCTAGAAGATTGTAATATAATTTGTTTTCCAACTTTGATGTCTTTTTATTTCATACCTTTGGGCTTGTATGAAATTTAAAAATAGGATTTTTAATGTACCATATGTTTCTCTAGCGTACCGCGCGAAAATATAATAATGTCCTCAGATTTCAGAGATGTATCTTCAAATGTATCGAGTATTGTTTGAAGAACAATTTATTTCAGAAATGTATATTCGTAAAAACTTTCAAGATGTATTTCCGGACAGTTACGAAGCAGAAGCACAAAGTAGAATAGAAAAATAACATGTTGACAAAATGAAAATACCATTGATATCATAAAATCAATAATACATAGAATTTTAACATAGATCAAATATTCCATTTCAATATACAAGTGGGCATTACAACAACTTGATAATATCACCGATTGATCTCGAAACAGTCGCATCCAACTCGATCAGAAATTTTGATTCTAAGCGGAAAAAATTCTCCACACAGCCCTTAAATCAGCGACCGTCTTCAACTCATAGTTGTTGAACTCAATCTTTCCTTCTTTGTCAACAGATGGCGAGCGGTACTCGATCTTCACGATTATGCGATTGTCGCCATATGGTAGAATTTCCTGCAGTGTGTATTACAAATCTTCAAGAGGGGTGTACTCAGTGATCTTAAATTCTCTTGAGGATGTCACACTGTTGAAGTGAACATTTCCGACAATGGCAAATGATGTTCATCATGGCGTATTGTGTTTTGGTATGAAACAAAATGAAAAGTGCTCTATATTTATAGTAGTGGTAAACTAATATGGACCCCACAAACTCTATATTGTACCAGGGCACATTCCGGAAATGTATCTCCGGAACCACCCTTTATTTTAGAGTTGTAGTTCTGGAACCTTCACTGGCAGAATAGAACAAAAAAATAGAACATGTATTCAATGCAATTTTTTTTTGACAAACTTCAAAATGTATATATTAGACATCATAACACATTAATACAATATCACTTACAATAAATACTAAAATTAACCGAAGGACTTGTCTCCGGCCAAATCTATAACTATTGGTGGTATCCTCTTTGACTTTTGTTTATTTATTTCTCTTTCAATCTATCTCAATTTGGTGAACTCTTTCATCCTTTCAACAAAAATGGTCCCGCCAAGCCTTGACTTTGGTTGTATAATGAGTTGTCCACTCCAGTGATGTAAGTGGTATATAGCATCCCAGTTTCAAATAAACTTGAACAAAATGTCGTAAATTTGAAGTCCACCCAACACAGATAATGTGATCATTTGGATTTAGAGGTGGAGCAGTGCACAGTGAAAAAAAAGTTTTCAAGAAACCGTATCTTGTAAGGTCAATACACACTCTAACATATGCACTTGCTATGAGATGACACATTTCAGGGAAGCACATCCATTTATCCTCTGGTGCAAGTCCATTAACGCAAGAAACAAGAGAGTGATAAATTGTTTCAAGATTTTTTTGTTCCTGTATAGCCATGTGTATGATTATTTATTCCCCCTTAACTCTTGGATAATAGTATGATAGATAAGTGTGTGATCCTCTTCTCCTTTACCGAGCAAAGCATACACAACTCGAAAAACGCAGTTACCGTCACCCTGGATATTGGTGATCCATTCAATGTATTTGTGCATAAAAACCGCATCTCCTCAATGAATGAGATTTTTGGGTGAGGCGGTGAAGGAGGTGGTTTACTAATTTGAACTTATTTGAAAACACTTTTCTGAGATTACAGAGTTGGTGAATTAGGAAAAACTTTGTCAACTTGTTCAAAATATGAAGAACTCTGCATTGTTGAATTATCACTCAGTGTAGGTTTGACCTTCTTAGGTGCTCCTTTTGTTTTTACTGGTTGAGAGGGTGGTTTCAAGTATGTGGTCCCCTTATATGAAATCTTCCCCAATTGCTCTTAGATGTGGAGTTTCATGTTATCATTGGCTTTCAAAAATATTTCTTGTATCGCTTCCCATTCGGCCAGGATAGAGATATTCGATTTACTGACTTTCATGACACCATCATCATCATCATCATCATCATCAAAACTTATCCTTTTCCATGAGTGCAAACTTCGTCCATTTGTATCGGGATTTCAAGTTTCACCTTCTTAGATATAACACAAGCACATGTGAGACCATAGGTTTTCATAAGTGTGCAACTATACTTAGAGTTATCCGAACCTACATTACCAGCTCTTTTGGCTTCGTAAAAAATATAATTCATAGCTGATCGAGATATGTTGCCGACCAACTAAGAATAAAGAGTATTATCTTTAAACATGTGTTCCAGCACTATGATTCTATGACAAAATGATATTTGTATATCATTATGCTGGTTTTGTATCATTTGATTCACAAAATCCCAATCTGTACACAAACCACTCTTACTATTTCTCAGCCAATTCTTCAAAATAGAATGAGCATTCTCAAATCGATTTGTTATTGTATTTTCAAGGTGTCTAACCTGATCAATTAAAGCACATGCAATCCTCTCCTTAACCTGGTCCAAAATTGTATTTTCAACATATTTCAATAAATCGAGATATTTCTCGCACACCTTCCTGAAATATATAACAACATCAACATATATCTTTTTTGTAAAAGAATTTATTATAACATTTCATGCATCAATTATTATTTTTCACTATGACACCTTCCTTAACCATTTTTCCATCTTCAGACGCTATCTGCTTTGACCATACCATGGATTAACCCGACTTCTCACATTCTTTGTAATGTGATACCTACAAAGAGTAATGCATAAGAAGTAGGAAATACCTTTCCAACTGAATTTATTAAAGCGGTATCACGGTCTATAATAATTACTTTTGGCATTTCTTGGTCCTTCAACATTGTCTGACACACCTCTAACGCCTGAGTAAAATTATTCTTTTTTTCGCACTCTAGAAATGCAAACTCGACAAAATAAGTCTTCTCAATAGAGATAACACCAACAATTTCCAGTAATGGAAACCCGTGCTTGTTGGTTTTATACATTGAATCAATGATGAGCACAGAGGGAAACATGTTGAACAACTTTATAGAATTAGGATGAGTCCAATATATATCTCTAATTATTAATCCATCCCTGCATGTTTGGTACCTAAATACATAATTATTATCATCTAGAAGTTTCAAGATGTGTTGCATTTTAGTTATATCCCCTCTCAGCGTTAACTTAGTTTGATAGCGCCTACTGTACACCTGTATGATATTTGCGATAATCCTGGGTCTTTTATGCTTCAAGGTTGCAAGTATGTTTTTTGTTTGTG